ATGACAATCTATAAGTCAAAATGAAGCTTATAATAAGAGGAATATAGATATACCCTATCCAATTACTGAATAGTTATACAATAAGAACATATATAGATAGATTATTAGTCCATTAATACTTCTCAGAAGGTACCCATAGTTTACTCTCCACTAAGATATAACAATAAGTACATCAATTTGTACTTACTTACTTACTTACTTAGGCCTGTTACTCCCAATGGAGCATAGGCCGCCGACCAGCATTCTCCAACCCACTCTGTCCTGGGCCTTCTTTTCTAGTTCCATCCAATTCTTGTTCATTTTTCTCATATCTATCTCCATTTCCCGGCGTAATGTATTCTTTGGTCTTCCTCTCCTCCTTCGACCTTGAGGATTCCATATGAGGGCTTGTCTTGTGACGCAGTTGGGTGCTTTCCTCAATGTGTGTCCTATCCACTTCCAGCGCTTCTTCCTGATTTCTTCCTCCACTGGGATCTGATTTGTTCTCTCCCACAGTAGGTTGTTGCTTATAGTGTCCGGCCAGCGGATCTGAAGTATTTTGCGTAGACAACTGTTAATAAACACCTGTATCTTTTGGACGATGGATTTCGTAGTTTTCCAGGTTTCCGCGCCATACAGTAGAACTGTCTTGACATTTGTATTGAAAATTCTGACTTTGGTGTTGGTTGCTAATTGTTTTGAGTTCCAGATATTCTTCAGTTGTAGATATGCTGCTCTTGCTTTGCCAATCCGTGCCTTCATATCTGCATCAGATCCACCGTGTTCATCGATGATACTGCCCAAATATGTAAAGGTTTTTACATCTTCCAAAGCTTCTCCGTCAATTGTGATTGGATTGGTACATGTTGTGTTGTATCGAAACATCAATTTGTAACCGACAAATAATTATTCGAATAGATCAGACTGTTAATCGTTGTTTGAAATATAGTCTCTACATTTATATTAAAAAAAGTATTGATCTACTACTAATAAATAATCTCTATACTTGTATATTAGTACATTTACTCAATGGATTATCAGTTCAATTTAATTATAAATTAGTTAATATGATGTCATTGTTATTCTATTGATCTTGAAGATATAGAATTTTGGCCGAACAGATTATAAATTATATGAAAATGATTATATTAATCAGTTTATATTCTTTAAGAGGATTTATTTAATCTGTCAAATAATCTGGATCATAGTCATATGAACTTTTGTTTTTTTTTGTTTTTTGGCAAGACTATAATTTATGAACGAACCAATCACGTATAAGATAATAGATCTTGGATTTTTGGCACAAAATTCATTCATCTATTTGACTAAATAAAGTTTGAACATGATAGTTAATGTCAGTTCGTGATGAAAACCCTGAAATCTAATTTCTAACCTTAACCATCAATTGTAAATTATAATACTAATTCCTCATATTGGTTTATAACATTTATTTGGTCCTAGTTATTAGGTGGACAGTTTCAAGATATAAGTTTGAAGCTATTACAAGTTCACTTAATCCGTGAACGAGAAACAAGACTCGGTAACCAAAAACCAGTAAGCTAGCTATTGATACATCCCAGCCCCGCTATCTACAGGGAGAAGTCCAAGCTTGGAATGGGAAGTATATTCTGCAAACAGCCAGAAAACGAGCGATCACAACACACACGATTTAAAAATGTATATATACAAATATATATATGATCGATATTGCCATGGAGCTTTTAAACATTTAATCGATAAGCTCGTCAATTGACTATGTGAGTAGGTGGTAAGAAATGCCCACGCATACATCTGCATACAAGCTCCACAAAGATAAAATTATAAACTATGAGTTTTGGGTATCTATCGTCCCCAACAAGATCACTCTAGCGTTGCTCAAAGGTAGTCCATAAATTATAGTTTCACTGTTTATTTCATTTACCACTAAATAGCCTTGATTTGTGGTATGGCAACTCGAACTGATGTACATACGTACGTACGAAGTTCTACATTGTTGATGACGGACTGAGCCTTGATTTGTAAAACTGAAGCATTTTCTGGGCGAACTGATTAGATTTGACTAAGTGAGTTCAAGGTAATGGCTCATGATTGAGATTGGACTATAAAATCTGTAGTTAGGGTACCTGAGGCGACTGATATGAGGTAGTGTGGTGTGTGCTTAAGATCTTGAATAGATTAGTGTTGGACCACTTAACAATCTCTACAACTTCATACTGATAATTACCATGTGCTCACTAGTGACTAGCTTCGTGAAGTAATTCTCCGAGTTCTAATGAAAAGCTGTGACCAATGGAGCTAATCTGTGTCAGGTAGAGACAAGTATCTATCTTAGACAATGGAAGATGATCGCACAATTTCATGGATGGCAACTCAGTAGTTAAGCGTTCGCGTGCGAGACCGAAGGCCATGGGTTCGATGGGTCGTGAATGCACGCTGCTGAGAAGTCCCATACGAGGACGAAACGGTTGTCCAGTGATTTCAGATTTTCAATGGTGGTCTAACATTCATCGATTCATGATATCAATCAAAAATAATCCAAAGTCTAACCCTCATTCTCACTACAGTGGTAGTGAAATGGTTTCAGTAGTCAGAAATCATGTTGAGATTATTATCTATTAGTGGTAAGGGATGAACTAGTTATCCAGATCGAATATAATAACTATCTTCATTGACATAAAGGTCTATAAGGAAGAGTATTTTGCCTCATATATGCTTCGAACTCATATGGACGAACTCTTTGAGAATCGTACAGTATAGGGATCAACTTAAAACAAACGCAACAAACATCCAGTCGGTTCTTAGACTACTAGTAAAGTGAGTAATGGCATAAATCGTGATCCTTATGGATAGAGATTATTCGTTCTCTAGAAACCTTAAGGAGACGGAAATAGATTCCTAAGAGTCATTATAATGATCTTAGCTACAGATTTCATCATGAACTGACAGTAGTAGTCCAAAAATGATTTCTAGTTATATGGACAAATGAATTTGGTATAAAAATGATAGTTTACATTTGATTAACCCGTCTATAGTGTATAATGCTACCGCATCAATACTTATATCAGGGTTAGGATTTAAGTATAGTGATGATTAGGATATCAGATATGTTATTCATCCTGAATTTTGCACATAAACCTAACAACCGTTTCCTTCATATTGACTAGTTCCTCCCTAACCCATGACTTTACCGAATCTACCGGTCTAACTTAGATCTTAAGACACAAGCATATCGAAATTCTCATCCTTCACTATAAATTATTGTCTGTAATCACCTACTTTCTAAAGAGCTGAAAATAGTGAAGTGCTCTCAACATTATATAAAGTCGTTCAGTTTCCTCTTCATACTTCAGGTTTATCGTACACTGATTTCTGTACATAGCCACGACAACTAACAGTTTGCTAAAACCAATGTGATGCCTATATTGTTATTGTGAGAAATTTTCGATAAATTGTCCTGTTACAGAAAACTACATAATGTATTCATACGTTATTATAAGAAGTTGACAATACATCGCGAAGCCAATTAATCCAAACTTCAAATGGAATCACAGAAAGGGGTTAGAATATTTTATTTTGAAGACGTGGATGAATAATGTGTAAGGATAACCATCCAATTCTAATGTTTAATCCAAGTTCAATATCTAGTATTGTCAAATATTTTTCCGTCCATTTAGTGGAGCGGTGCTGAACTGATCAATGTTAGACCACTATTAAAAACTTGGAAGCACTGGACGGTCGTTTCGACCTTAGCAGTAAGCTTTGGTTATTCACAAGTTATATTGGTTTAACAGGAATTTGTTGGAATGTGACATATTTTGTGCTGAGAATTTCTTAATGTCAACAAATACATGTTATTAAACGATGTGATAATTACTATTGTTATTAAAACAACCGGCTTCATAATATTATTCGAATCAGCTTGATAAGCTAGGCAATAGGTGAGTGATAACGAACAAAGCAAGCTAGTGAGTGAGGCTTTGTTAAGGTCCTGGATTATATTATCTAAGGTACATATGTAATTTTTGTACACTGACTCGGTTGCTAATTACAGCTTTCCATTCATTCCGTTTTCATATTCATACAACAGGCTGGACTCATGTATAAGAAGAGCGTATACCAGTACCTAAATAAGATGACCGCAGAACACATAACATCTGCCTCTAGATGTAACTCTATGTGGAATTGTGAATATCAAAATTTATAAGGTATTCAGGTTTGCTTAATTCAATCAAAAGGTATATATATCCTTCAAATCATAGACCAAATATATATTTGTATAAATGTTCTACACTAGTGAAAAGGGAGAAATAAGATACTACCACAATGAAAAAGTTTATACACAAAACACGTCTGGTTCCAGTGGTAAGTAGCCGAGTCAGAATTTTTCTGTCAATCATTAAATAAATAACTGCCCCCAAATGCCCTGGTACGGCCGACCATGGGAGAGTCCGCTCTCCCTCTAGAAATGCTCTTACATAGCCTCGTGCATACGACCACTGACAGGAAAGTTCTTCTCGTAGTCGGGGTCTTGTTTACGAAATTGAGAGCACAAAGAGCGAATGTCCGACGCTTCAACCGGGTCGGTGGACACAGACAGTCCACCTAGGGAAGTTGAAACACCCTCATTCCAAACCAATGGTGCATATGGGCTCCAGGATCTTGATAGAGCAAATAGCGTATGAACCTACTGATGGTCACCGGCTACCATGTTACTGCATCTCCTTACGTTGTTTCACTGCTCTGTGGATCAGACCTTTAGGTCGAAGGCTCCGTGTGTGGTCTTCTGAAAAACCACCTGCTTCGGTTTTGGCACCCGGACAGTATCACAGCCCACACATGAATCAAGTGACTTGTATATGTATTCAGTGCCCCCAAATAACTTCTAGAGAAATATTGACAGCTCTCTAACAATTATTTATTAATATCTTCAGATAGTTTACCAATGATCTCTTAATATTTCTCAACGGTACCATTATTTTTAGCATCACTCAAAGTTAATGATGCAGCATAATTTCACCTATCAGCTAATGAGTTCATAGAATGTTGAAATCAAAAGTTTATCACTAGAAAAGTAATGAGACTTCATTGTATATAGTTATTTTATGAAGCTTATAGCTTTTTTTTTCATGGTTTATAGTCAATTTCTTCTACTTTAATGTGAATCATCTATTCAAGAGACCGGTATAGGATTTGGGTCATTTATTAGGTAATTATTCACTATTTCTCCAATTATTTATTTGAAGATTCTTCAAGAAATTTAGAACTCGTCAGTTGGATGTATCTGCATCCCATAATTAATGTACACTCCTGAACTCGAACCCAGTACCGTTCGCTTCAAACATCATCATCGCTTGCTATAAACATCAACTTTGAGATACAGGTACATCCAGTTGACAAACCCCAAAATAAGACGAAACGCACATATCCTAGATTCTACTGCTTGCTAATCACTAACCATCTTTGCTTTAGAAAAAAAAAAGCTTGTGACTTAAGCTTATAATCGAGGCAATCCACACAGGATTCACATATGTTAACAAGAAATTGATCAATTACAATCCTAAATAACAATAGGAAGATCCAAGTAAACAACAACAACAACAACAACACCAAGTGAATGTAATAAATAACCTAGAAATTCTAATGAAAATTCATTCATTTTCAATCAAATAGGAATATAAACCTTAAAATGGAAGTTTGTTTAAAAAAGAAAAAAAACCTTGGCATTGAATTCATTCCATAATCCATACAATACAAAACTGGAAATAATAATAATTTTGAATTCTTTTCGTATAACATCATAAAATGTAAAAAAAAAGAAGAAAAACAAAGAAAGAAAACACACAATAAAAGAAATTCTAAACAAAATTGATTAACAAAGCAAAACAGAATAAAAACATTAACGACGACAACAACAACAACAACAAAAACAAAAAAACATTTAGAAAAAGTACATAACAAACATGAATCAGAATGTACGGTGATAAAAACAACATAGGAATACATCTCCCCCTCCGACCATCTACCCATCCCGCCAAAAAATTAAAGAAAACATTTCAATGCTAATAGGAATGAAATACCTAGTATAGATTTTATTCATATGACTTTGGACTGTATTATTTATATGTGTGGATTAGTGATACTATATGCATAGTCTAATTGTTTAAACTTAAGTAAACTAAAAATGAACGGGTTCGAACTTACAACCTACTGATTGAAAGTTGAGTATTACACTTGAATCAATTAAGCAATTATAATGAATAGTTTATATGTGTATTTGTATATATGAATGTGCATTAAAATGTACTGGAAAGTCTGATTTGACGATGAAAACACACACACACACATAGAGAGAGAGAGAAAGCGACTAGACATTGAATAAAAACTATGTAGATAAAACGACGACAACAACAACCCGGGAATGGGTAAAGAAACAAAGACATAAGAAGCGAAAAAAAAAAAACTATTCCTAAAAAAGGAAATAAAATTATACGCATATAAACAAAGACGATTATATTTAACAACAATCATTCATTCTATTATGAAAACAATAAGACAGTGGGATAGTACAAAATATGACAAAAAGATAATTCTGTCAACAGCTCAATAAGAAACCATTATTCATTATAGATCATTTTATAGCATTAAAAAAAACACAACTTAATTACTAATGAAATTGAAATGAACAGGAAAAATTGACATTTGCAAATCATACTCTACAAATGATCTACTATAGGCGCCGTCGTCGTCATCTTCATCAGCATTACATATATATATATATATATATATATATATATATATATATATATATATATTCAAGATATCAAAAGATAATCGAATCAAATAATCTAAATGGATTTCATAGGAAATATCAAATTAAACTGGCTAACGAAGTATTCTATTTCAGTATTATTCAATTTACCATTGTTTTAAATTTGAAATTACATCTATGATCTTCTGGATGATGATGCCTAGAACAAAACCATCTTTCACATCTATAAATAGAGAGAGAGAAAAAAAAGAAATAGAGTAAAAACAAGTTTGAGAAACAACAGTAGTTTGTAATACAAAAGTTAACTACTAAGGTTATTGATAACCTTTGGAATGTTCAGTAGGTATATTGTTGTATCTAAGACATGTGATTTTTATCCCACTCATTTAGTATGTGAATGTCACCAACTAGTTAGTAATTTTTAATAGAAATTACGTTTCAAGACCTGACTTTCATTATATTTATGCTTTATTTTAATTCAACAATGTTGAACTGTGCTATATTAACCAAAATTCTTTATACCAAACAGTTGTGGATAACTACTACTGTGGTGTGTGCTACTGATGTCTACAGATATAAGTAGTATGTATAACTAATCGAAAGTGGAATGTCTGGTGAAAGAAGATCGAAGAGAAGATATTTGGTTGTCACCACTGGTTCTGTCGTTCACTACACTACTATAGATGCTTGAAATAAAATCTTTAGTGAAAATTACAAATGCCATCCGCTAAATAAATGGATAAATGGCCTTAAGGTCTAGGGTAAAACTGTATTATATCAACGGTCTAGAGTGGCCAATCGAAAATTCAACTAGCCGATATTACATATCAGGGAGAATTCAAAACGTTAATGTGGGTGCTTTGTTGTTGGAGATTACAATGTTAATTATATTTCATGTTTTTTTAAAATACATATGCGCCACAAATCATTCAATTTGTGAGAGGGCTAGGATACTGTCCGGGTGCCCAAACCGAAGCAAGTGGTTTTCCTAGGGGACCACACACGGAGCATTCGAACTAAAGGTCTGATCGACAAGGCAGTGGAGCATCGTAAATAGATGCAGTAACATGGGAGCCGGTGACAAACGATTAGTTCATACGCCATTTGTTCGCTCGGGGTACTGGAGCCCATGTGCACCATTGGCTTGGAGTCAGGATTTTTCAACTCCCTTAGGTGAACTCTCCTTGTCCACCAATCCGGTTAAAGAGCCGGACATTCGTTTTTCGTCCTCTCAATTCCGTAAACAACACCCCCGCCACAAGATAGCAATGAATAGGACTTTCCTGTTAGTGGTTGTATGCACGTGGCCATGTGAGAGCATTTCGAGAGGTAAGGCAAACTCTCCTCACTCTCATTCGCACCAGAGCATTTGGGGGCAAATATATATTTTCAATGATAAATATATAAATAAATGTATATTTATCATTGAAAATATTGTAGATAACCTCCAAGTATAAATTTCTTAGAAATATTTAAATAACTTGAAATTCATTGAACAATTTGTAGACGATCATTAATTAGAACAACCTTAAGACGTCTGGAATTTATGATAGACAAGGTCAGTCATCCGATTGTCTGCTTATATGTATATCTAAGGTCACTATTATTATTATTATTACAATTATTAGTGAGATTATGTCATTCATGGTTATTTTGAGACAAAGATTATAATGAATAATCATAATAGTAAATATTTTTAAGAAGCCGTGACCAGTTGAGTTTAACCGGGTCTGTTGTGAGATAGTAACTCATTGAATACAATAATGGACGGTGGAGCAATTTCGTGGATTAATTGAAATTAGACATTAGCACCGTTGGATACCGGCTCAGCAGTCTAGAGGTTAAGCGTTCGCACGCGGGTTCGAATCCCGTGAGCGGGATCATAGGTGCGCACTGCTGAGAAGTCTCACAATAGGACGAAACGGTCCTCAAGTGCTTCCAGGTTTTCCATGGTAGTTTAGCTTTAATCAACTCATGAATTCAACTATTAAATAGATTTGAGTTTATTTATACTCCGTTAACTGAGAAAAAAAAACAATAAAAGATAAACCTTTGAAATGTCAATCAATTCTTCCGTCTGTTAATCAATCAACTATACATAATAAGTGAATACCGAAAAAAATAGAGAATTTACATGTCCAGGTCAAATGATTTAGGAAAGAAAGTAAAACAAAGGATAGACGAAACTCATCATGATTCGATACTACCACTACTACTACTACTACTCTATAAATACAGTTAATGGCTGTCCATGAGGAAAACTTTGTGTTAAAAAAAACTAAATAAAGAAGTTTTGATATCTTGGTGAATAACGATATAGTGAATAAAATGAATAAGATGATAAAGGTGTATTGGAACAAACAAACTAGTGAGAAATATCTATGTTAACTGAACTTTTAAAAAAGAAAGGTTAATCAATTGATAGAATGAAGAAAGGAGATAGTTAACTTCTATTGATACCCGCATCATTAAGCAGGAATTACAAGAGTGCAGTGGTATAGTCTTTCTCTCTCTCTCGCTCTCTCTAGTCTTATTATCGACTAGTTCGCTTATATTGCTAATAGGACAGGTAACTTCACCCCCCTTGCACAGGCAGATGGCTATCAGGACTCAGTAGCTAAGTGGATAACGCGGTGGCGTTTGAAGCGAACGGTACTGGGTTCGAGTCCCGGAGTGAACATCAACTCTGAGATGCAGGTACATCCAGCTGACGCGTCCCAAATAGGACGAAACGCGCGTCCTGGATTCCACTGCTAGCCATTATCCATCTATGAAAACAATTACTTTATAATAAATATGTGACAATGGCTTGAGTAAAACGAAAGCTTCGAAACAGAAAAATGTAAATAGTAATCCTTTGTATGATAGCCCCACAAGTTATACTTCCTCATCACCAACTGGTTACACTGAGATGGCTGAAATATGCATAAATGTACGAATACGACTGCCTGACCTTATAACTCATATCAAAATCAAGTATCATTTTATGAAGGAGATACGATATGAAAGGCGCTTTATTTTCAGATCAGGGTATATTATTATTAATATCATTATTATTGTCGGACTAAGCTAACGTGAGAATCCATACAGCTTCTGGTTGGGAATAAGTAAAAATGGTGGTTTATGTATTTCTAAGTAAAAATTATGTGGAAGTTGTAGCTGTGAAGTTATTCAAAGGACTGTAAATTGATTGAAGCTAAAAATGTAAACCTTATGGGATGGAAACTTATTGATTGAAAGACAACGCACGTAGCATGTAACCTAAATGTCCTCGATGCTTAACAGCCCAGGTGATTACAGACAGAACATCATATATCTAAAGGTTATATGGTGGATAAGAAATAGAAGTGCGTGCAAACTATTATGAGGAATTATAATATCCACCTAACCAAGGTCACCCTCTGTTAGCAGACCATTTGTTAGATTAGAGCATGTTCCACGCAGAAAAATGTTGGGGTGCGGTGACTGGCTAAAACGTAACCAGATAAATGAAGATTCCGGAATATTCTTGTGTACAGATTTCAAATTTGCTAACATCTTTCTCACTGTGATTGTTTTGTTTATTTGGAATAAAATTTTATTCTTGTTTAACCGTGTTCTGATTTAGAGACTAGTCGAGTGAAGTGTCTGAAGAATACTAAGAAATAAGAGTAGTTGGGTCGTACAAAGAGAGATTTTGGTATATTCCATGTATATATTTGTCTGAATCACTCCATTATTATGTATATATAGCTATGATTCAAGTACATAATTATTCGATTTTTGAGATAAAGCTTCCTATACATTCTAGGTCTGTTAACTTCTATATAACCGATTGGGACAAGCATAAGGAAGTGTTTAAATAGAACCGAAAATCATAACAATTTACATTGCTGAAAATCCTTATGTTAGAACGAAACAACTCAGTGTTTCCTGATTTTCAGTGAATTTCTAGCTAAAGTCATTTTTCTATGATGCGAATTACAGCTTAGTAAAAATCTTAAAATATAGATGAGTTGAGAGAATAATGAATCACTTGCTATGGAACAGAACCAATCCTTACTACTCTCTCTATCTGCATAAATTACATTTACCTGTGCCAAACTTATTAATTACTTGAAAACTAATAAGCTTTGTTCCATGTCTAAATGCGTTCGTATTACTTATCGCGCTATAATGCGGATACTTTGAAAGAGTAATCATAATAACAGTGACAATAAATACTCTCTATTTAATCGTCATTTGTTTAAACACATATGCATTGATATAAGGAGACAGTCTAGATGGATCCTCTATATCCACCAACCCAGTTAAAGCACCGGACATTCGCTTTTCGTCCGCTTAATTTCGTAAAGAACATTCCCGCTGCGAGAAGGCAGTGAGTAGGACCTCCATGGCAGTAGCTGTATACGCGTGGCCATGTGAGAGCATTTAGAGGGGGAGAGCGAACACTTCCCACCCTCAACTGTATCAGGGTATATGGGGGCAGTCTATTGGATTTTCAAAACAGCGGTAGGTTTCGTGATATTTATTAATCCAACCTAACGGTTGTCAAGGTCATCTGCTTAAAGCTACACGCATATAATAATTGATATAAACTGATAACTTTAAAGTGTTAAGAAACAGTTGATAAGTGTAATTTCAATATCAGTTGATCAAAATTCCATAATAAGCTCTATAATTTAAAATATATTAAAATGTAGTAAAGATTGTATTGTTTGTCATATAACATATAACTTACCGACAGGTGAAACCGCAAGCTAATCGAGTTCGTCTATTGCACTCATAACATCTGGATTGATTTGAATGTATAGTTGTATTACAAGAGGAAGAAGAAGAAGAAGAAGAAGAGGAAGATGATGATGAGGAGGGAGACGATGATGATAACGACTGAAGAGAATGTGATGAAGATCTGTCAATGGTAGTATTCGATAAACACATTTGTCGTAAATCATCATTATCATTACAGTTTAAGTTGAATTCTGTTTGTCTGTTATATCGTATAGTATCATTTAATAGCTTTTCAGTAATATTATATTCATTATTATTTAAATGATTGGAATGACTTTTAGTGATTTGTAGAAGATAATTTTGATTCAATGGTGATTCGAAAGTTTTGCTGTTAAATATAATGAAAAATAAGATAGAAATTTGTGAAGATTGTAGTATTTTAACAGTTGAAGTTATGAGTCGATAAAAGCTCACTAGTAACTAGCTCCAAGATAGATTTCCTGGAGTTCTAGTGAGAACCTGTGATCAGTGGAGTTCAATCCGTATTGGGTGGAGATAGTTATCCACGTCAGACAATAGATGAATAGTTGCACAAGATCATGAATCGATTCAGTGCTTTCAGGTTTCCAATGGTAGTAGTCCAGCTCAGATCAACTCATGAATTCAACTGTTGAAATATTGCTATTTATCAAGTTTACAATTTTAAAACGAAAAAAAAGTATTCAATGGAACAATTTAAATGAATGAAAATTTACTGAGTATATGCAATCTATTTAGTAAATACTTGAACTAAGAATATTATAAGACTTCACATAACTTAATGTTGAGTGGATCATTGTGATCCCCCTTCGAAATGCTTCACTATTGTTTGATAAATCCGTAGAATTCTTTACAAGTTAAGCTCTTCAGGAAACTTAAAGTGGTTTTATGTTCTTATCGTCTTTGCGTGACAGTTTATCATTTCAGATGCGATGTAGCAAATATAAATAATCTGGAGGGTGATTTAGTATAATAATCGACAATGCATCTGATCATTCGTTTAGGTGCGTTCATAACTAACAAACACAGTTGACAAACACTTAGTGATATTTGTTGCCTAGACCATGTAATTTCGAAGAAATAAGTGAGAATCATCGGAATATCGGTGATTAAATTGAAAAAAATAATCATGAGTTTACACGAGTGTAAATTAGTGGTCTCTAAAAAATTATTCCCCAAAACCTTACATACAAGACTTATAAGGTACCATTAAACCAACTACAGTGTGAAACTTTCAATAGCATCCACCAAACTAGTGGTGTGATAGTTGGTGAACTAATTATCAACTTCTATAATGCATTTCTATAAAGGGATTACTTTTTTGGTCTTAAAGAAAACGACCACTAGAAGTCAACAATTAAACGCAACTCGATTTCGTAATCTTGGAAGTTGGCTTAGCGACCAATCAGAATGAAATGGGAATTACTATACCCGCCATCTTTGTAAGCAATGGCGGTCGGCTTTCCTCGTTCTGTTTTCTCCTGCAGTTTCTTTAGTGTAGCTGCATAATTTAATGTTTCAGTGTGCTGAAATTCCGAGATTAATGCAATACTCTAAGTGTTGTCGTAAGTTTTCATTGAATCAGCCTTGTTTGCTGCGGCTACGCATTCCAGCATGCAATGCGCATCCGACGTAACGCAGTCGGACATGGAGAATAAAAATTACAACCAGAGCAAAATTCACAGAATAATCTAGTTCTTTAATAATAAATACATCATAATATGACAAATTTTATGACTACATGAACGTAGACATGACCGTTATTACACTGAGCGATACATTAGGTTTACGTGTAAACGTTGAGTTTAAATCCACCCTTTTAATTTAATTTGTAATGGTTTTGTATTATTATGTTGTTGATATTCAAGAATGAATTTTAATCAGTCTTATAGTTGGCATACGTTTATCTTGTGTGCATTGTCTTGATATTGTCATTGTGATACAAGTTTATATAAAATTGATAAAATGTGACTACCATTGAAGTCCACGATGTGCATTTCATCTCATTTGGGACTTATTGGCCGGATATGTCAGCATCTCAAACGTGTAAAGTGTATAACGTATTGGTGTTTGAAATAAAAGATACTGATGTTGTTTTACTTATAACTTCCCATTGTTACTTAGGACTGCAATTGATTGAATTTAAAGTTCACCACATTACATAAGCAATGATTATCAGGACTCAGTAGCTAAATGAATAACTTGATGGCGTTTAAAGCGAATGGTACTGGATTTGAATCCTCGAGTGAACATCAACTCTGAGATACAGGTACATCCAACTGACGAATCCCACATAGGACGAAACGTGTGCCCTGTATTCCACTACTCACCACTATCCATCTTTGCTTATCATGCTTGTGATTTAAGGCTATACTGGGGCAATACACACAGTATGCACATATTCCAATAAGAGATCGATCAATTACAGTCCTAAACATCAATGAGAAGATTCAAATAAAACAATATCAAGTGAATAAAAACTCTATCACATTGCACAAGCAGGTGGCTATCAGAACTCAGTAGCCAAGTGAATAACTCGATGACGTTCAAAGCGAACGGTACTGGGTTCGAGTTCCGCAGTGAACAACTGACGTGTCCTAAAATAGGACCAAAACGCGCATTCTGGATTCCACTACTTGTCACTATTCATCTTTACTTAAAAAAATTTGTAACTGGGTTCAAATCCTGAAGTGAATATATAAACCTTAAGATCTAAATATACCCAGCTGACGAGTCACAGATTCTACTATTAATTGCATTCCATTTATTCTATTTAAGTAATACATTACTTACTTTGTATATGATGTTCTTCTATTCATAACAATAGTATTATTATTATTATTATTATTTGGTATTGTATTAAATAAATATTCATTTGAATTAAATTGATTATTACATAATAATTTCATTTGCATCATTAAATAAAATGATGAATAAGAATAAAGTGAATCTATTGATGATTGAAAATTATTCATAATGATAAATGGATTAATGAAATTAATAGTTGAATTATTCAATAATTTTATGATAGAATTATCACCGGATGAAATAGGAAGATTTGTTATAGTAGTAATGTTAGTATCCGTAGTAGTAATAGTATTAGTATTAGTAGTAATAGTATTAGTATTAGTAGTAGTATTAGCCGTAGTAGTGTTAGTATTAGTATTGGTAGTAGTAATAGTATTAGTATTAGTAGTAGAATTCAATAAAGGAATAGTACTTGAATTGGAATAGTGTCTGTCCAAATTAAGATCATTATCATCATCATCATCATTGTGAACAATAATAGCAGTTGTCTGACTACTATTACGTGTAGATCTTCTGACATCAACAATAGTATGGTTATTATTGCTATTATCATTATTATTATTATCGACGATAACATTCATATTCGGTGAAGATAAATATGATTCTTTTAAAGAAGAAAAGATTGAATTATCTTTCAATTGATCATAAGAAGAATCCATGACAACAATATTGGTACTAGTAGTAGGAGTAGATGTATTAGTTTTATCAAGTAATGAATCAATTGATTGATGATAATGTTTAGAAGGTGTTTCAATAGTTTGAAATCCATGAATATATTGAGATGAATTGTTGGAATTGATATTTTCACATAATTCGTAAGAATCAGTTTCTGGTATATTTAATTGTTGTGTAGAATTCTGAATAAGAAGTAGAAAATAAGAAATTTACATGGTTTAAATCGTATTTACAATTGATTAGTCACACGGTTAGGGACTGATGTTATGTATGTTATGTATATCAGCCCCCAAACGCCCTGGTACGGCCGAGAGTGGGGAGAGTCCGCTCTCTCTATCTCTCAAAATGCTCTCACATGGCCACGCGTATATAGCCTCTGCCAGGGAAGTCTTACTCACTGCATCTCCTTACGATGCTCCACTGCCTTGTCGATCAGACGTTTAGGTCGAATGCTCCGGATGTGGCCCCCTAAAAAAACCACTTGCTTCGGTCTAGGTACCCGGGTAGTATCAATTGATATCTGTGTGGCGCATATGTATTTGGTGCCTCCTTGTACCAATATCTATGTGTTAAAATAAAATAAAATAATATGCATATCAAGTACCTTTAAGATCTAATTGAACTCTATCTACCAAGTTGCAAGCAATTAGTCAAGTGATTCGACTAGTGTGCACTATATGTTGAGATATAAAGTAATGGTGGTTGGAGGTAGTCGATGGGAAACTATACAACTTAGATTTTGTAATATATAGTTCTCATCAGCAAGGTATACTTATAATCTAAAGGGAACTGATTCTCCATGGTGGATTGGATCCCATGCTACTAAGCTTCACAATCAAAGATGTTATCGCTGAGCTATTCGGGCTGCGAATGACCACCCGCAAGGCTGAGATATATTTACAATTGATTAATTATTGAGTAGTGACTAACTTCATGTATGTCGAGTAATTCTTAGTGTTGATTGAGTTCTAACTTGTACACATACATATAGACAAATGAATTCCGGTGTTTATTTAGAAGAAAAAACACAACACAAACTAATTATTGGCAGTGATGATGATGATGATTTGAACATGAATTGACTGGTTCCCCACAGTTATTCCAACTACTTATTGATTCACATTTCGATGTTAACCGGTTGGAAAGAATCAGAAAGAAATCACTTCTCTTCAAATAAGTTTCTTATTAGTTCGACCTGAGTAAGTCAATTAAAAGTAACATAGGACCTGGTAGAAATGTACACCGGTTCAAGTTGCCACACTATATCAGTACTGTGATATGAAACTATCAAGACAAATCCCAGGGTAGCAGTAGTAACAATGGAAGTAGAATATAATAGGCAACCTTGAGAGAGCTAATACTTTCTATGAAATTCTCAGTCAGACATAAACAGTGAGCTATTCGGGTAGCGATATAGAAATGAAATATTAAGCTTGAATAATCACTAAATGGTCAGGTAATTAGAGTCATGTTTGTTCCGGATTTTAACTGAATCTAATTATATCAACCAAGTTATAACGTGATTAGCCCCCTAACATCAAAATACATAGTGCACGCAATGTTAAATAACATAGACTAGTGGTTAAATCGCGCAGTCGGTTGACAGAATATGATCGGCACTATAGACTGGAACAAACATGATATCGTTCACTCTATGTGTATGAAATCAGTTTTCGTAAGTCAGCTTTCTGAAAAAAAAAGCTTCAAATTTCACAAAATATTCCTCAGTCACAACTTTAGACATGACACCTTGTCTATTGCTTACTGATTACAGCTAATAGCTGGGTGATATTTTTCCATGATTAATATTAAGTCATATTTAAAAAGGTTTGTGTCCTGAAGCCTTCAGTTAAATCCGAAAAGCCTGACCTATTTTTTCTAAAAAGGAAAGAGGATACATTGGGTCAATCAAAAATTGCCCAAATGACAAGTGCATATGATTGGTTAAGAAATGTCTTGAATTTCCAAGGAAGGAGACGTACATCATTAGTGGACATATATATATTATAAATGAGTCAGTATGTATACATACAAACTCAGTTAGCCCATGAAAAATTCGTCGTCACTTCTGTATAAGGAGCTTGGGTATAAATATCACTATCAAACACTGAACAACACAATCTACATTATATTAACCACAAAAAAAAAACACTTTATAAACTTACATAACTCGGTGTTAATAACCAACTCATTTGTTGAGGTGGACTAGACGACTGTTCATAATGATAATAAATATCAGTCTCATCAATATCATTATTATCATAGTCATATAATTGATTTTCGTCTGTTACTGTTGTAGGAAAATCATATAATGAAGGTGATAACAATTGTTCATTGTTATCAATAGCATAACCAAGAATTTCAGCAATTCGATAAATTTCATCATCTGATGATGTGAAACAATTAGAATTCATAATATCATCATTATTGTCATTATAAGATTCAAATGAATTCATTAGTAGATTAGTTTCAGTTTGTTCTAATTCATTTGATGCTATTTTAGTTGCATTGACAACAGGTGTTACACATATCGATGGAAAAACGACAGTTGGTGCTGCTGTAGATGATGATGATGAGACGGATGAGTAAGAAGAGGAGGATGACAAGAGAGACAACAATCGTGTATATTCCGTTTCGTCATTATTATGATTATTATTAGCAGACTGTGATGAAATGTCATTATTGGAATATTTTTGATTGATTGATGTGCATAAATCATATCTACCTAATGGTCCAGTTCTTAATCCTAGGACAAGAAGTAATAAAGCGCCATGTCCAATATTTACAATAGACAGAATTGTTTGATCTGTTAATTCAACACCAGAGTATAATAAGTGTTGATCGTGGATTGGTATATCTAATGATATTCAGAAAAAAAAATAAACATGGAATAAATTAGCACGTGACGTAACAATATCTAAGAGATCTATTCCTGCTTCGGTTTGGGCACCCGGGCAGTATCACAGCCCTCACACAAATCAATTGAGATTTGTGTGGCGCATATGTATTTGGTGCCTCCCTGTACCTATACTTATGTGTTAAAATAAATAAAATAAATAAGAGATCTATTCCTATTTACAACTTCCAGCAGCTTAATTACCTTTAAAAATGAGAAATAATTTTAAGATGGATACACGATTCCGGCTACGTATGTATTCTCGTGGATGCGCACTGCTGAGGAGTCCCATAATAGAACGAAACGGTCATCTAGTGCTTCCAGGTTTTTCATGGTGGTCTAGCTTCAATTGACTCATGATATCAACTATCGAAATTAAGTTATTTACTTAGAACATTTTAAAGATAAGAATTTTTATTTATTTCTATGATATTGTATTAGTTGTATATAACCGGAATAACTCAGTAGCACATTGTTTGATTTCGATAGTTGTTATGTCTAGAAACGCTCAAGTTCTCGAACCGTAAGCTACACAATCCAATTTCTTTGTTATTGACATATAGATTGATATAGTAAGAATCCAGCTACTTGGTAAAAAGTGTGGTGATAATTTTATCCAATAAGTATAAGGGTATAAATTATACGATATACCTGAAAGTTTAATATCACTTATTTATTTAAACACATAAATATTGGTATACGGAGGCAGCAAATAGATATGCGCCACATAAATCATTCGATTTGTGAGAGGCCTAGGATACTGTCCGGGTGCCCAAACCAAGGCGGGTGGTTTTATTAGGGGACCACACCCGGAGCATTAGACCTAAAGGTCTAATCCATAAGACAGTGGAGCAACGTCAGGAGAAGCAGTCCCACGGTAGCCGGTGACCAATAATAGGTTCATACGCTATTTGCTATATCAAGATCATGGAGCCCATGTGCACCATTGGTTTGGAATGAGGGTTTTCCAACTCTCATATGTGGACGGAATAACGAAATTCAACGTAGCGATTACTAGAATTTTTTGTTGGACATAGGATATCAAGTAGAAACGGTGAAATCTTCAAGGTAATTGATAAAGAAGTAAGCAATGTCTTCTAAAATTTGTTGGAGTTATTTTTATCAAACGCTTGACCCCAAATACTTTGATACAGCTGACAATAGGGAGAGTCAGCTCTCTCTATCCCTCAAATTGATATCACATAGCCACGCGAATACAGCCATTGACATGGAAGTCTACTTACTGCCTTCTCGTGGTATTACTGTTGTTTACAAAATTGACAAAACGAAAAGCGAATTTCCGGTGTTTTAACTGGGTTGGTGGACACGTACAGTCCACCTAGGGGAGTTGGAAAACTCTCATTCCAAATCAATGGTGCACATGGGCTCCAGGGCCCCCAAATGCCCTGGTACGGCCGAGAGTGGGGAGAGTCCGCTCTACCTCTCGAAATGCTCTCACATGGCCATGCGTATATAGCCTCTGCCAGGGAAGTCCTACTCACTGCCTTCTCGTGGCGGGGGTGTTGTTTACAAAAATGAGAGAACGAAAAGCGAATGTCCGGCGCTTTAACCGGATCCCAAACCAATCGTGCATATGGGCTCCAGTATCCTGAAGGAACAAATGGCGTATGAACCAATCGTTGGTCACCGGCTACCATAAGACTGCATCTCCTCACGATGCTCCACTGCCTTGTGGGTCAGACTTTCAGGTCGAAGGCTCGGGGTGTGACCCCCTAAGAAAACCACCTGGTTCGGTTTGGGCATCCGGGAAGTATCACAGCCCTCACACAAATCAATTGAGATTCGTGTGGCGCATATGTATTCGGTGCCTCCCTGTACCTATACTTATGTGTTAAAATAAAATAATAAATAATGGGCTCCAGGATCTTGATGGAACAAACAGTGTATGAATCTATTGTTGGTCACCGGCTACCATGGGACTGCATTTCCTGACGTTGCTCCACAGCGTTGTGGATCAGACCTTTGGGCCGAATTAGTATTTGATTGACTGGATCTCTAATAGAACAATAAGATATGACTATAGACACGTGAATAAGTGAAAAATATCTTGATTATTTGGTGAAATACATCTACAAAGCAGATTTTCAAATTCCACTTGAGAATAGTATCAAATTATTACCATAGATAACCAGTATTTACAGAGAATGTGAGGGAAAGCACAATAAGTAAGAATACATCTTGGTATATATAAAGGTTACTACTAGACCCTGGCCCTCAAAATCCCCTGGCACGGCTGGGGGTGTGGAGAGTCCGCTCTATCTCTATCAAAATGCTCTTACATGGCCTTGTGCATACAACCACTGACAAGAAAATCCTACTCACTGCCTTCGCACGACCGAAGTGTTATTTACGGAATTGAGAGGACGAAAAGAGAATGTCCGGCGCTTCAACCGGGTTCGTAGATACAGAGGGTCCACATATAAGAGTTGGAAAACCCTCATTCCAAACCAATGGTGCACATGAGCTCCAGTATCCTGAAGGAACAAATGGCGTATGAACCAATCGTTGGTCACCGGCTACCATAAGACTGCATCTCCTCACGATGCTCCACTGCCTTGTGGGTCAGACTTTCAGGTCGAAGGCTCGGGGTATGGCCCCCTAAGAAAACCACCTGGTTCGGTTTGGGCACCCGAGCAGTATCACAGCCCTCACACAAATCAATTGAGATTCGTGTGGCGCATATGTATTTGCTGCCTCCGTGTACCAATACCAATGTGTCAAAATAAATAAATAATAAATGAATAAACTAGTCCCTGTACAGTACTCCGATTTCACACAATGCAGATAGTTTATCGATTAGCTTCTATTTTTGGTAAGTAAAAGTTTATTTTAAGAAAAAAACGATGGCATAACTGAGTCAAAGTGAAGTAAACTAGAAATTAAACAGACAATAATTTTCCATAAGCTCTTTTAAGTATAACTTCACCTGGAACCCCTCTGAAGCTACTACCGGTCCCAAGACCGGATAAAGGAAGAGGGTTGGGTATGGGATTAGCGACCCCATCCCTTAGAAAACTCGCTAAAAAACGCTAACCAGAAAAAATGATTCTTTTAAGTATATGATTAATATTTGGAAATCTGGATGCTCAGCGTAAAACCAATAATAAAGATAAAGCTGAACTATAAAAGTAAGCCGATGATGAATGTGTAAATCACTTCATAATTATGGAGCGCTTTTCAAAACAACATACTGTTTACCGATTATAAATAATTGGGGGAATCAGGTTTATGGGTTACACCATGAACTGACACCAGCCATAGTACAGGAATGCTTTGCAGCTATATGGATGAATGAATTTTCATTAGAAATACAAAAGGCGCTATCATAAATTTGCGTTATAAATCATTCACATATGTGGTTTGATGGGTTGTTGAACGGATCAAGATATTGTCAGACTTTTGATAACTCGTTCAAGCTAGTACTTATAACTCAACCTTACTAGTCAATTATCATCAAGGATTACAGGTCAATATAGCTGACAATTCAATATAAAAAAAGCTCGCTGCATTACCCTATCGGCCAATGACAGACTTGATCTTCTGACAGTAAAAGGCTGGATTAATGAAGTTTATTATATAACTTACAGCCTTATATAGAAATATTTCTTTCCGGCCACCAGTAGAATAAATTGATCACATAACAATGATGATAGAGTAAAATCATATGGCTGACGAAACCTTTCTTCGCATCTAATGAATTTCCAAACAGCTAACGGCGAGACTATAATTTATGAACGAACAAGCCAAATATACGATAACAGGTCTCGGATATTGGCGCGAAATTCATTCATCCATTTGGGTAAATATAGTCTTAGCATTATAGTTGATGTCAGTTCGTGATGAAAACCCGAAATCTAGATCCTAGCCTCAATCATCAACTATAAATTATAATTCCAATTCCTCACACAGGTTTATAACCCTGATTTGGCACTAGTTGTTAAGTGGACACACTCAATATCAGTCTAGCGTCGTCTCACCGAAATTTTATAAAAGTATATGAAGAAATATATCAAAGTTCACAATCAAATAACTTACTTTTTAAGTAAAATATCCTTATTTTTATAGACAACACACTCTCATTTGGATTCACATTAAGAGGTATGACTGCACCAGATAAACCACGGACAAATATTAACATAATTGAAGAAAGTAAAACACTAAACACTAGATCAACAAACAAAGAATCTTTAATTCATATACTGAATGTGCTTCAGGTTTTTTTTCAAATAATCATCCTTTCAAGGTTAAAATATTCACCAATCGTGTAAAAATTATGTCCATGACCTTCAACCATAAAACATTAGAATTTTAGATTGTCCAATGATAATTGCTTAATCCAATGCTAAATTATAATATGTTAAAAGATTATTGGTTGATAAGATGTATATTCATAAATTGACCAATCAAAAGTCAATCAGTAGACCACCCACATAAACCTAGTCAGTCTGGATAGTCATGTGACCAGGTAGATAGATAATCAGACATTTATTATTCCATAGTATATAGTACAAATGTATCATTCTTTTCAGAATGGAGGTTTGTGGAGATTGTAGTAATTTTAATAGTTGAATCGATGGGTTGATGTAAGCTAGATCAATATCGAAAACATGGAAACACTGGATGGTTGTTTCATCCTAGTATAGGACACTTGAGCAGTGCACGTCCAACGATCCCGCTTGCGAGATTCGAACCCAGCACCTTCGGTCTCGCGTAGCAAACTCTTAATCTCGAGACCACTGAGACGGTATCCAATGTTGTTAATTTCCAACTTCCATCGATCCATAAATGACTGCAAAACCATTCATCCATTATCTGAGATAGATACCTGTCTCTATCTGATACAAATTGGACTCCACTGGTCAAGACTTCTCACTAGAACTCTAGGAAATCATCTTGAAACCCGTCACTGGTAAACACATGATGATTATGATCAGAATGGGGTTTGTGGAGATTGTAGTAATTTTAATAGTTGGATTCAATACCTCCAGGTTTTCAATGGTGGTCTAGCTTACATCGACTTATCAATTCAACTAAATTATCATTATTTCATTAAGCCGGTTGTTTTTGTCCATCAAAACAGTTAGTTCCGACATTATCACAGTGGTGTATGGTATTTTACTTTGTTTGAATACATCTTTAGCTTGTTTTATTAGTATTTATACATATATACAGGCATCTAACCTAATAAACTCATTTTATATTATTTGTTCAACCCACACACACACACACACAAATTATAAACCCGGATTAGGTTTTGTTTGATGTAATATACAATGTACATCGCACAATGTACTCTTCAAGGTCTCTTAGTTATTGCTTTCAATTATGAAAAGAGTTATGAAGCGTCAATCATTATAATTAACGATAAGTCTTTTTATGTAAAAAGCTACATTAACTAAGAATTTTGTGGCTTGTTCAAGTTATAATCAACTTTCGTTTACTGATCCTTTGATTTCTCTACATACTTCATATTATAAACAGTTGAATAGTGTTGTTGTAATTAGATTGTAATCAGGCTTTATAATATACAGTTTTATGAAATATATGAGACTGATTTGTAAGTTTAATGATAATGGGACTCATCAATATACATCAACTTTATTGACTATAAGATGGTATTTGACAGTGTGGACAGGAGAAATTTTTCGACACAATGGAGTTCCTGAGAAGATTGTCAACATTATCTGAATTTCATACGATGGACTACAGTGCAAAGTGGTGCATGAAGGTCAGACGACAGATGGATCCCAAGTAAGGACCGGGGTCAGAAAAGACTGTCTAATCTTCCCCTTATTCTTTCATCTGATGATTGACTGGATTATGAAGACCTCGACATCTAAGGGAAAACACGGCATACAATGGACGGCTCAGAACCAATTAAACGATTTGGACTTCGCAGATGACCTAGCCCTCCTATCGCGTACATACGAATAAATGCAGATGAAGACAACCAGTGTAGCAGCAGTCTTTACATCAGTAGGCCTCAACATGCACAAAGGAAAAAGCATGATCCTCAAAAAAACAACACGGAGAACACCAACCCAATCACACTTGGCGAAACTTTGGAAGATGTGGAATCTTTCACAAACCTGGATAGCATCATCGATTAACAAGGAGGATCGGACAGTTGTTTTGAGTTCCACAGGTTCTGCAACTGTAGGAATGCCGTCCTTGCTTTGCTAATCTGCGCTTTCAGATCCTCCTTGTTAATCGATTATGCTGTCCGCGTACGTGAAATTTTCCACCTGCCCCAGAATTTCTCGTTCAAGTGTGATTGGTTTAGTGTTTTATGTGTTGTGCTTCAGGATCTCGCTTCAAATAACTTAATTTAGATATTTACCAACGATATTAAAGTAGATCCTAATTAAAACCAATATCCATCAAACAAATGTTTACTGTTTCGATCCATTAAAACGGTTTACAGTACTATGACTGTTGGGGAGATAAGTCCTAATCTCCTGACTGTTACAAAATAAGGCTATATCCACACATGTAACGTGGGACGTTGTTTTTATTGAGAATTCTGAAATAGTACAAAAGTCACGCGATTCAAACAGGGTATTTATGTTATTTTAATGTCTTAAGCTCAAGTTAACAGTTTGACATTTAGAATGGTTGTTCACATGATGAACATAAACTTTAATACACGTGATATAACATCCAACACCATAAAAAATTACACGCATACAGCAAACCTTCATTTTACTAACGTCATTGAGCGACCATTGAAGTAACCTATAGTAGTTTTACCCACTTTTAGTCAATCAGAAAACCGGTAACAAGGAGTTACGATGGCCTAAATGACGTTATCAACAATGAAAACGAAAGTTAGTAAATCTTCCTCAAATTTCTGATAGAGGCTTTTAGGCCGTAACATTGATTTAGCTTCATTTGTCATTATGATGAAAGAATACTATGAGACAAGTGGAAAGTGAAAATCCTGATACTTTTTGGATTAGAAAAGAACTTTTATTGCAGAAATAGATAATAATTATAGATTAACAGTATAGGGTTTTGGAGATTATTAAGTTTTTGATTGAGATCATGAAACGATTAATGTTAGATCATCATTGAGAACCTGGAAGCACTGGACGGCCGTTTCTTCCTATTGTGGGACTCCTTAGCAGTGAGAAGCCGTGACCAGTGAAGCTAATCCGTGTCGGGTAGAGACAGGTATCTACCTCAGTACAATGGACGATGGTCGCGCGATCCCGTAGATTGGTTGGGGTTAGAAATTAACACCGTTGGATACCGACTCGGTGGTCTAGAGGTTAAGTGCTCGCACGAGAGATTGAAGGCCCTGCGAGCGGGATAGTGAATGCGCACTGTCGAGGAGTCCCACAACAGGACGAAACAGCCGTCCAGTTCTTCCAGGTTTTCAATGGTGGCCTAACATCAATCGTTTCATGAACTCAATCAAAAAATAATTATAGATATTTTTCTATCTGTAGCCGATGACGTCTATTGATATTCAAAGATGAATATAATAATCAGAATAAAGAATTGGAACGATGGATGAATTCTTAAAATATTTTGTTTACTGTAAATCTCTTAACATGTAGTCAGTACGTAGCATAAACAAATCCCCAAAATAAATAGTTTTTTAGGTCTTCGACAATGATGGTGATCTTATTGATTTTAATGGACACATGCCTAGCTGAAACCTCTTGGTAAAGCATCCGCACCAGATTATGTTTGGATACATCGTTAGGTACTCTCGTTACTTATAACAAAAGATCAACTAAGATTGTAAACATTCAAATCCATCGATCATTATTTAAAATATACCTTAGTATTCCTTAACTTATGGTTTCATTAACTTTGGGATCGTTTTATAAGAAGTTTTAGATGGTAGCTTTATTCAACACTGTGCATCTGTGACAATTTAAGGTTTATAAAAGTTAGATGAATAAATAGTAGATAATCCGGAACTTATCACAATTGTTCTTTCATTCACAGAACTGATAATCAAGATAAATTCAAGTCTCTAATTTTAAACAAGATACCTACACTTCCCGAAAGCTTACTACAAACTCCGCTTCTCATATATCTCTTCCAATTTACGTACCACATTAAAAAATATATTACACAAACCTGCATAATAGTTATCTTAATCCCAGTTAGTACAGTCTCATAGCCTATTTATATGTATATAGTCGATTGTTTTCCACCCAGTGATGATTCTCAACTTAACATCTTCTATGATGAGTCGTCTTTCATTGTTTTTTAACAATGAATGGTAATTAAAAATATTTGTCTATTGATAAAATACATTTCTTTCATTGATACACTAAATGTTAAACTGTTCTCTAACATTTTCTTTCTCTAAAATAGACTTAGTAGTATTGTGGTGCATACTACTTATATCGACAAACATAGATAGCATGTAACTTACTTACGTCTGTTACTCTTCGTGGAGGAACATAGGCTGCCCACCAGTACTCTTTATCCAACCCTGTTCTCGGCAATCTTTCACAGTTCTTTCAAGTTGCCATTTATGCTTTTCATATCTGCTTCCAATTCTCGACGTAGTGTGTTTTTTGGTCTTCCACTTCTACGCTTGCCTTCAGGATTCCTAGTATGTAACACGAATCAGAATTGGAAACTCTGGTAACAGAAGGCTAAGAAGATCAAGTTAAAGAAAATAGAAATGGAAATAGAAAGGAATTACAATTAGGAAGAATCGTACAGAATGTGAAGAAGAAATGATGGAAATTTGGAAATGAAGTATTCAATGTTCGATTCTCATATTTTAGCAAGATATTCTGTAATTGTGCATTAAAAATAGGACGGTTGTTCTAACCTATGTTCTCGTCTACTACAGGCTATTTCTTTGTTGACAAATATATCCAGCGCTTATTCCCCTTCATAAACGTAAAAGAGTAATCACTGAACTGCGGGATCTTTCGAAAGCAAAATAAACAAACAATTGAAAACCAGAGTGACTTGACCCGAGAGACCATGTTTCTTCGTTTTTTAAGATTTTTCAACTGGATGTGTGGTGTAAATTCACTTGGTATTGTTTACATGTGTCTTTCCATTGATGTTTAAGACTGTAATTGACCAGTCTCTTATTGGAATATGTGCATACTGTGTGTATTGCCTTCAATCACAAGCACTATAAGCAAGGATCGATAGTGGCTAACAGTGGAATCT